GAAAGAAAACAAGAAATGCATGACATACACTTTGATAGATTATACAATCTTATTTGTTATTATCTATTAAGTATTTGTTAATATTTCCTGAAAGAGACATGGAGGCTGCCATTGCTTAAAATGATGCTTTTCTGGCTTTGGAGTCACCTGTTTTCTGCTGTTCACAGCAGTTTATGAGGGCACAAATTGTAGTTAAATGCGTTACTAAGTGAATGTTTATTCTTACTGCTGCACTGTGTTTTATGCATTGTTTTAATATATGTTTTAAGATACATGTTGGCAGCTTTATTCTATGTATATAGGTTCTCTGTGGAGATATTTCTTAACATATATGTCTTAAAAACATGTATATTGTTTTCTTGATTTTGGAAATGTTAGCCTTGAAAGAGGGATAATATTAGCCTTAACGTGAGTAGTCTCTATAATCTCTGAAATGCATTGGGTACTAACTTTAATTAAATATGATTATCTGAACATTGGCTCTCCAATTCCTTCTATACTTTAAATGAGAAAAATAGGTAGGCTGCCACTGTTGACTATTTCTTCTGAAAATGCAGTTTCTTGACTTTCTTTGACTCCAGAATTTACTGGAGTTGCACCTACAGAGCCATTGATCAAATGTGAGCGTGTAGATCAGTAGTTATGGCTTCACTCTTTCAATCTGATTTAGAGATGAGGTTCAAGGTTGCCTGAACCTTGGGTTTGAGACAAATCCATGGGATTTACATTCAGGCCAAACTACTGGTGCATACATTTTTGAGTTTGCACCAACAATTTGGTACAACCCATAACACATTGCTTGGCCTTTGTCCTGGGTCACAAGTCACAAGAGTCAATAACATTAAGGAATCTGAAGTCCCCTCACTAAAAACGATTAGACTCACTGCAGCCATATTGTCATTGTATGCTGGAGCTGTTGGGGAGTGCTGACAATTCAATATAGGGAGAGATACTGTACATTACTCTCCTATTATACTATGGATTGCAGTGATGGACTTAATATTGTTTGATACCTTGTTCCCTCACACCACATTTTTAAAGTAACATCATAGTTTTAAGGGTTTGTGTACTTTCAATGATGTCCTCAAATGAAAAAGGCCATTACCTGCTGTGAGTAGTAAAACAAAGTTGACTGACAAAAGCTTGCTTATTAGCCATACAAAGGGCCAGAACTGAAAAAAAAAAAATTCACCCCCTATAGACTTCAGCGGGGTTAGTGAAAAGTTGAATTTTGAGCAAGGTTTGTGAAACAGGTCGTAAGTTGAACCTGGGCCTGTTTGATCACAAATACTCAAATTTCAGTTACTGCATACTTGTTCTGGTTCAGTGATTCAAAGGACCTTGGAACTAGAAGATTGACATGCTATCCAAGCAATATTTTTAGAAAGAAGCCCACAATTAAATCCCACATAGTTAACACTAAGAAGCAAGTGATATGCTTTTAATATCCAAACAGAAATTAAGATTTTTTTTTTTACTTACTGAAAGCAGCTTCTTGTAATCTGTTACAAAAATGTCTACAATTTGATTTAGAACTTAAAGAAACAAATGAAAATGCAAAAGAATGTATTTCTGCAAATGTGACTGGTACATGTGAGGTTAGCCAACTGAATCTTTAACTTATCTGCCCAGATCATAAATCCATATGTGAAAAGGTGAGAGACATCTGTCATTATTCCACTAAACACACCTTGTTCAAAATGTTGCCCTTTTGGCTCAGTGTCATGCTATCTGGATATGGATTGCTCTATTTTAAGTGGTTTATTCATTGCTACATAGAGCTTGTAACAAGGGAGAAACATAGTTGATTGATTATATTGGGTTTATAGATTTCCCTTCACCTTTAGGCTTTTGGATAGTTAATGGTCAAAGCCATTAATGTTTCAAAGCCATATGGGCAAGTATTCAAAATTAGTTCATTATTTCACTAAACTCTCTGTGGGGATGTGTCATTTAACTAGTTCATTACTCAACAGTTAATATGATCGCTCTAAAGAGACAAACAGAAAGAATGGCATCTGTTTAAAATTTCCATGGGCTTTTTATGGTGCATACACCATAAGAACTAATAAAGCAACTCTCAGGTAAGTTTGCTCACTGTTCAGTCAGTGCCTGTTTATGGTCCATGTTGGTACTGTCATTGATAACTGTAGAATGGCACATTACAGAGGCACTTTAACACAGCAATGTAGCTTCCACATTCATTTGCAAATGTTTGCAATTAAAATGTCTGTTTCTGACCAAATTAGGCTATTTTTGCAGCATGGTAGGGCATGTGTTGGAAAATGTTCATGTGGAATACACCTTAGGCAATAGAAGATTACCTCCCAAGTAAATTTGCTCTCAATGTAATTTGTAATTATTAATTATGGTTGAATCTGTTTTTATTTTAAAAAATAGTTGACAATCATGCAGTAGGCATATCATTAAATGAACGAATAAACAGTGTCAACATGGAGAGAACAGTACGAAACCAGGACCAAAAGGTTAAAGGATGAAAAGGGCAAAGCAGAAAGTTAGAAAAAGTAGACAGAAGAATGAGATTAGGAAGAGAAGAAAAAAGATGGGTCAGGGGAGGGATGGGAAGTGAAGAGCTTGAACTATGTGTAACCAAATCTTACCATGAGAAAGTGGGGAGGCCACAAGAACATGTCTAGTTATTTTCCCTTTACAGTATATTAAGAGGGTTCATTGAAGTATAAAAGACAAGGTGTGCCACTTGTCACAAATGCCACCCTCCAGTTATTATAGTCAGCATATACTGTAGCTCCTCCATCATTCATAGTGTCCACCAAAAAATGTTAGAGTTGGGTTGATACTGTTTTTTTTCAGAAAAGAAGTATATGCTGTCCACGGGGGAGGACTGACAACTCATGGGGCCCCCGGGCAATAGGGGATCATGGGGCCCCTGTGTCCTTTCCCAACTCAAACCACACCCAAAAAGCCTATGAAAAAGGTACCAGTTGCATCTCATGGAGCCCCCTACTGACCCCGGGCCCTCGAGCAGTGCCCGAGTTTCCAAATGGTTAGTCCGCCCCTGGCTTTTTCCAGCTTTAGATGTGAAATGTCATAGCAGCATTTGTTTTTCTGGTTGGATATCTCTCCAGAAAGATCTATTTCTGGAGTGGGGTTTACATGGCCAATGCATCTATTTTTGTAGTGTATGAATGTCTTGCTCCTATCTATTTTATTACAGGGCGTAAGACACCAGATTTGAAAAAAAGTGTCTCTTTCTGCTCCTCATCTCCAACAGGAGTCATCAACATCAGGAAGTATAATATGCATTGTGACTAGGTCTTTAGAGTTTTTTTCATTGGAATATCTTGAGACTGAGGTTTTATGGGGGAAAATGAAAGGTTTGTCCCACTCTTCTTGAATTAGAGGGTATGGAGGTCCTTTTCCTATGCTCCTTTAAAAGGTAATGAAATGTCCAGGTTCCCCATCAGTATCCTACAAATGATTAGTAGCATATGTGGAAGAGGGTCAGAGAAGGAACACAGCTTTTTGAAATCTGTGATGGTTGGGTATGGGAAGAGGCATGCCATTTTGTGCATAATCTGAGTGTTTGTGATGTTGTTGACCAGAAGATCTTTGTGGTAGGACCTGTGGGGGAACTATTGGTACACCTGCTTGTTACAGAGGTTTCTTGACATGCATGTTTACAATGTGTGCAGCTGTTGCTTGTTTTGAGGCTAGAAACTGACTACACAGGCCCTCTTTTTTAATTGTATGGGGTGGCCTGGAGAATTTTCTTACTGTTGTGCACTGTAAAAAGACACTTTTTATATTCTCATATATGGTAAGTTATCATTTTATATGTGTTTATTTTATGCTAATTTGAAATACTGTGAGCCATGGTGGTTAAATCACATATCCAAAATAATATGAAACATGACAGTGAATTGGAGAAAGTGAATGTGTAGTGAGACCTTATCTGTATAATGTCTGTTATGCTCTGCACAGTGTACTATACTGTAATATATACACTATATTGCCAAAACTATTAAGACACCCCTCCAAATCATTGGATGCAAGTACTCCGATCAGCTCCAGATGTATAAAATCAAGCACCTAGGCATGCAGACTGCTTCTAAAAACATGAAAGAATGGGTCGCTCTCAGGAGCTAAGTGAATTCAAGCGTGGTACCGTGATAGGCCTCCGCCTGTGCTATAAGTATATCAGTGAAATTTCCTTGCTACTAAATATTCCACAATCAACTGTTAGCAGTTTTATAATAAAGTGGAAGCAACTGGGAACAACAGCAACTCAGCCACCAAGTGGTAGGCCATGTAAAATGACAGAGTGGGGTCAGCACATGCTGAAGTGTCACAGTGCTCAGAAGTCACCAACTGTCTGCAGAGTCAATAACCAAAGACCTCCAAACTTTGTGTGGCCTTCAGATTAGCACAACAGCAGTGTGTAGTTAGCTTCATGGAATGAGTTTGGATGGCTGAGCAGATGCATCCAAGCCTTACATCACCAAGTGCAAGTATACCGTATTTTTCGCTCCATGAGACACACTTTTTTCCACCCAAAAAAAGGGGGGGAAATATCAGTGCGTCTTATGGAGCAAATATGGAGTGGCTGGTCCGGTATTTCCGCCACCGTGTCAGCTCTTCTCTGCAGCAGGACCTTACCTGTTCTTCGGTCCAGTGCTGTACAGTCTTCCCGCACCGGCATCTTCCCGCGCCGGCATCTGTGACAGCCGGATGCCCACTGCACATGCACGAGAAGTGCTGCGCTTTGTGAATGGTCCGGCGTCTTCTGGGACACGTGACAGGTCCCAGAAGATGCCGGACCATTCACAAAGTGCAGCGCTTCTCGTGCATGCGCAGTGGGCACCCGGCTGTCACAGCCGGGTGCCCACACTAAAGAGAGGACAACTCTGCGAAAGTGGGAGCGGGTACCTGTCAAATTCAGGTACCCGCTCCCCCTCCCTCCCCAAAGGTCCGCAGTTTCTTGATCATGCCTTGTACTGTCTGCAGTCTCTTGGTCATCCCCTGTACTGTCTGCAGTCTCTGGTCATCCCCTGTACTGTCTGCAGTCTCTGGTCATCCCCTGTACTGTCTGCAGTCTCTTGGTCATCCCCTGTACTGTCTGCAGTCTCTGGTCAGCCCCTGTACTGTCTGCAGTCTCTTGGTCATCCCCTGTACTGTCTGCAGTCTCTTGGTCATCCCCTGTACTGTCTGCAGTCTCTGGTCATCTCTTCTACTATGTCCACAGTCTCTGGTCATCTCATGTACTATGTCCGCAGTCTCTGGTCATCTCCTGTACTGTGTCCGCAGTCTCTGGTCATCTCCTGTACTGTGTCCGCAGTCTCTGGTCATCTCCTGTACTGTGTCCGCAGTCTCTGGTTATCTCCTGTACTGTGTCCGCAGTCTCTGGTCATCTCCTGTACTGTGTCCGCAGTCTCTTGGCATCTCCTGTACTGTGTCTGCAGTCTCTGGTCATCTCCTGTACTGTGTCCGCAGTCTCTGGTCATCTCCTGTACTGTGTTCGCAGTCTCTGGGCATCTCCTGTACTGTGTCCGCAGTCTCTGGTCATCTCCTGTACTGTGTCCGCAGTCTCTGGTCATCCCCTGTACTGTGTCTGCAGTCTCTGGTCATGCCCTGTACTGTGTCTGCAGTCTCTGGTCATCTCCTGTACTGTGTCCGCAGGCTCTGGTCATCTCCTGTACTGTGCCCGCAGTCTCTGGTCATCTCCTGTACTGTGTCCGCAGTCTCTGGTCATCTCCTGTACTGTGTCCGCAGGCTCTGGTCATCTCTTGTACTATGTCTGCAGTCTCTGGTCCATCTCCTGTAGTATGTCCGCAGTTCTGGTCATCTCCTGTACTGTGTCCGCAGTCTCTGGTCATCTCCTGTACTATGTCCGCAGTCTCTGGTCATCTCTTGTAGTATGTCCGCAGTCTCTGGTCATTTCCTGTACTATGTCTGCAGTCCATTGGTTCAGAATATTTTTTTTCTTGTTTTTCTCCTCTAAAACCTAAGTGCATCTTATGGTCAAGTGCGTCTTATGGAGCGAAAAATATGGTATATATATATATATATATATATATATATATATATATAAAACTATATATATATATATATATATATATATTATAGAATACTGTACTATCCTGTACATATTAAAGTACAGGCTTATACCTGCACCTTGTATACAGTTGTGGCAGACATAAAATACACAGTTCTGTATTTAAATTTGAAATGTGATTGACGTGTGCTGGCAGCAGTTTGAATCTTTATTATAATTTTTAATAGAGGATGATGTATTAGACGTACATAGTATATGACAGTTCTCCTCATCCACATCTATAAGGTATAAATAGAGTCAATATTATCCACATGGAACGCAATACATTAGTTGCTTTTTGTTGGGAGTGGGAGTTTTTTTATTTGTACAAAATGTGCATTAAATGCACATGTAATGGATTTACATCATTGCATAAATTACCATTTGCTGCTCACCCACAGTATATTTACTGCAGGAGGCACAAGCAGGCTGGAACACAAAAATGTATGCCATCCAGCTGAGTGGTGCACAACGTGCCATTACCACAACCACTGTGTCCACCTGACTCAGAGAATTGAGGTTCCCGGTACCCAACAACTTTGAGTGACTGGGGAAATATGTCAATGCTATGTGATTACATGATCACAATTCTAACAAAGTTTTTATATATATTAATTTAATTCATAACATCAATGATGCCTATAGGGATTCTGTGATTGGCCCACAGCTATGACATGGTACTTGGACCAATCACAGCACAGAATAGTAATCACAGCTGTTATGAATGTAACCCATTCATGACAGTTCAAAAAATTGCTTTTACAGTGATCATGACTGTGTAAAAAAAAAAAATCCCTGATCATTCTTCCCAGAGTAGTACAGTGTCACTATAGTGACACTAAACTACTCTGATGAATGTATGTAAAAAAAAAAAAAGGTAAAGTTAAAAAAAGAAAAAATTTAAAAAATAAAGGTTTTAAAAAAATTTAATAAAACGTATGGTATGTTTTTTTTTCAACATACTGTCAGCAATCAGTATCCCTGATCACAGCCACACCAGTTATATGATGACGCTGCACCTTTTTATTACCATATTTTATTTAATTTCTTCATTTTCCAAATAATTGTGACAAAAAATTACAACTTCAAAAAACTTGCCACTTACTAAATACCTCATACTGTCTAATTTCCAAAAAAGGGGTCATTTGGGAGGTATTTGTACTGCTCTGGCATTTTAAGGGCCTCAAGAAATGAGATAGGCCAAACATTCCAGGGTATGTAAACTTTTGATCATGGCAATTTGGGTGATTTCTGTTATCATTATAATTTAAAAAGGAGCCAAACTATGTGCTAATAAATGGCTTCATATGATCATTATCCTTAAATAAAAGACAATTTTTTGGCATGATCACTGACATTTTCAATATCAATGCCAAAATTTAACAATTTCTGCCAGAGTATGCAAACTTTTGAGCACAACTGTATATACAGTGTGTCATAGTTTGTAGATGCCTTAACATTCAAACAAACCAATTAATATATACACTTATTGGGATTTTTTTACCAAAGACATATAGCAGATTACATTTTGGCCCACATGTATGAAGAAATTTGATTTTATTGGATATGTTTTATAACAGAAAGTAGAAAATGTTGGGACTTGTTTAAAAAATTTTAGTCTACTTTCATTTTTGTTGCAAAACAGAAAAAAATCCAGTGGTGATCAAATACCACCAAAAAAAAGCTCTATTTTGTATTAAAAAAAAATATAAATTTAATTTGGGTACAGTGTTGCATTACCACGCAATTGCCAGTTACAGTAGCACAGTGCTGAATAGCAAAAAAATGTCCTGGTCATGGAGGGGTAAAATCCTCCAAGGGTCAAGTGGCTAAGAATCCTGCTAATAACAATTGAGCAACTACAAGCCAAATGAAGGAATTTAAATAATACAGATTCTTGTAATAGGAACTCTACAGTTATGTGCTGCGTGCACTGGTAACCTTACTATATAACTCTTAGATTGTAAGCTCCATGTAGCAGGGCCATCCTAACCTTCTTGTATTGAACTGTACTGTTGCTGTATTGTCTCCCGTTATATTGTAAAGTGCTGAGCAAACTGTTGGCGCTATATAAACCCTGTATAATAATAATAATATAACGCAAATGGTGTTGGCTGTTAGTTACTATAAACCATATCGTGGGAAAAAAATATGACTCTAAACTTTGACCCGTGTTCCATGGGTTCCATAATGTATCTGTTTGTAAATGCTGACTGGTCAGTGGTAGCTGAGAGGTGTCACTCTAGGAAAGTGTGCTTGTACATTACATTATCCAACAAAGTCTAAATATGTGCTTTTGACAAAATCAAATATAATTTTATAGTATTACTGCTAATACTTATGTTGATATACATTTTTCTTACAACTATGTAGAAATAGATAAAGCTGGATAAACAATATTAGATTTTCTTGATTCGGCCTGGGGGCTGAACAAAATAAAAATACCATATTCCTACATTCATGCTAAAGAGTGCAGATGTATGGATCTCCCACTATTGTATTCTGTCAGAATGCAGCGTGTGCTGCCAAAACAGTGGCTGCAGGAACTATTCAACCAAGAATTACCCACCTGGCTCCTTCGATTTTGGCCAGTTCATCAGAAACCACATTCAATCAGTGTATGGCTGGCTTAAAGCCTGGTACACTCAATGAGAATATCAGACAAATGATCGTCTTTTTTTTTTTTTGCATGCTAGTCTCATTTAAAAAATGAAGAGGTTACTAGAGTTACGAAAATTCTTGTAAGACAGAATACAACTTCCTGTGATGATTTAATGTATTGTATTTTAATATATTCTTTTGTTTCTGAGCAGAGATCACATGACTGGTTGTCTGACATCTGGTCACATGATCCAGGGGGATTCCAGAGCGACATTTTGTGCAGGGGAGCTAAGTATTCAGCACCTCTTTTACTTTTATGTTTTAAATGGTACAGGATAGTGAGAATCATGGATCTAGGGTCTTATTGTAAAGCTAGATCTTATAATTTAAACTAAACTAGCCTAAACTAAACTAAACTAATATATGTAGAAACCCTAACAGAAAAAAAGCTAAAGGACTTTAAAGATACAAATTCATAACCCACTATATGAAATCAAGTATTTGTATTGTATTGATACCATTAAAAGTAAACAAGATAAAATAGCAGTTAATCACTGTTCCTCATAAACATGAGCTTCATATACAACAGTTCCCTCCACGTATCCCAATACATAAAGTGTGACTACGTATAGTTATTTCACAATCCTTAATTCCATTATTTGTTTCAATATAAAGGAATTATGGATTGTAAAATTTCATTATTTAGGATCTGGTGCAAAGACAGATCCATCTCTTATACTGTATACCAGTAAAACATAAACCGAATGTCCATTGGGACTTTATCAAGGTACAGTATATCTGGATGACAAACATGTATAAAAGGTTGTTGTTTTATTAAATATCCATTAAAAATACTTTTATATATATATATATTCACAGAATAACTGATTTACGACTACTTCAGTCTATTTTAGCTTACATATATACACATGGGCAAAAAAAAAAAAAACAGATTGGGGTTTTCTGTGTACAATGCTTGTTGCGTTTTTGTTTGGTTTTTTTTTTGGTGGGGGGATTTATAATTCCGTTGGTGATGGGATCAGTTTAGAAAACTCTCCACAATTTTTAGTCACCACTTTCACTTTATATATTTAATTTGGCTTGATAGCTACAGTATTTCCATCCATGGTCATTCAAATACTTTGCACTTATAAAAGTGTCTTTGAACTATTATGGTTATTTAGTTTCATACCACCTTTTCAATATCGTTCTACATTTTAGTATCGATACACACTTCTTACACACTGGATATGCACTTTTCCCTATGTATATAGGTCACCACTTCAGAATACTTTATAATAATATTGTGCAACCTTACACTGTTCACACTGCTATGGTCTACTTTATGTGGATGCATGTATATGTTTTTTTATAATTTTTTTTTGTTTGCCTCTTTATATGTGCCCTTTCAGTAGCATCCACTCCTGATGAAGTGAATTAATGTTCACAAAACGTATTGAGATTTATGGTGTTATTCATCTATCCATTTGTTTTGCAAGTTTATGGAATTCAATCTTGAGCATGTTGGAAATTTGTTAAAATATGTTATCTATGTAGTTATTGTCTTTGTTAGATTGACAGTATTAAATCAGCTCATCTGTGATATTTTGGTACATTTAATGTCCTTTAATTTTTTGCTGCTGGGGTCTCCACATCAGTTTAGCATGTGGTACCTGAAATAATTGTTATACATGTCTCCCCCTTTTCTTTCTGGATTGTTTGTAAACTAAACTAAACCTAAACTTGTAATGCTTGGTGTCCTAGCTTAAAGTGTTTGTACACCTATGTAGCACCCAGCTAGATAGCTTGGGGAGCTAGACTGCAAATTGTTAGACAGGGGCTGAGTAGCAGCCCAGGTGTAACAGTCAGTGGGGTCAAATTGTAGTCAGAGCTGAGCTTCTCTACAG